TAACACACTATGAAGGCACTTTCTCAACTCCATTCACCTATAAGGAATGAACTTATTTATATTAATACATCATTTGTAAAAGGATACTGTTTTCTTTTATAGAAGACTAACCCAAAATACGGCCAATGAATAACATTAACAGTTAAGAATTTTTTGATGGCAGTTTGCCAGGTGTGTAGTTACATTTCCAAACATTTTATTTTCAAGGTAGAGGGAAAGTAATGTTTCTAGAGATAATTTATTGTAAACCAGCAAAATTATTCTGTTACTTGCCATAAGTTCATAGTAAGTTTGTTCTCTTGAGGTACATTTTTCTTATAACCATTTTAAAAGAAAATATAAAATTTCCTGTTATTAAAACCTCTTTAAAAAATGATGGTAAGATATACATAACATAAAATTTGCCAACTTGACCGTTTTTAAATATACGGTTCAGTGGCAGTTAGTACAGTCTCATTATTATGGAGCTTGACTCTAACTTTTCTTCATCTTGCAAAACTGAAGCTCTGTACCCATTAAACAGCAACTCTCCATTCTCCCTTCACTGCAGCCCCTGGCAGCCACCATTCTCCTATCTCTGAATTTGACTACTCTAGGTACCTCATATAAGTGGAATCATACAGTATTTGACTTCTGCGACTGAGTAGAACACTTTTTAAGTAATACATGCACATTATGCATTTAGAGAGTGTGGAATGACCATGTACCTACACTACATGTAGAGTGCAGGAATGGGAACTTCTTGGTGCTAGAAGCATATGTAAATACAGCAGTAGCCATCCATCTCTTTGCCCTTTTTGTGCAAGTACCCAAACAGCTTAGCCATATTTTCCAGTCTGATATAAGAATAATATGAACAAAGATTTTAGCACATTATATGTAAAGAAAAAGTAGCAAGTCTGGTTTTTGTCACTTGTGGTGATTTATATTTGGTAAGAATCATAGAATATTAGAACTAGAAGGAGGTGTTAGAACCATCCAGTCCAACCGGTGCTCTCACTGTGCAAATGAGAAAACAGAGACAGACGGGTAAAGTGACTTACCCAAGGTCAGTAACAAAGGAAACAGGTTTTCTTAATTCTGTGCGATTTCCCTTACATGTTCATTAGTGTACTGATGAACATTCTATGGTATAGCTAGTTATGTCCTTGAATTTCAGAGGCCAACTTTTATAGAAAAAAAAGAAAAGTTAATGTTTACTTATTATAACAAATAAATAATGAATAACAGAAAAAGTTATGCCTGTGCTTAATTTTTACATTAAGTATTGGTTTATTATGGAGATATATATATATATACATATATATATATATACGCACACACACATACGCACACCATTGTTTTATTAAAGCAAAAGCCTGTTAAATGGGACCTTTGATGTGCTAAATCCCTATCATGGGATTTAATTTTGTATATTTGATTGTTTTTTTGCACTGCAGCTCAGTGTATAATAAAACCTAGAACTGATGCATCTCATTTTGCACAGGCATTTTTAGTGTGTCAGTGTAGGGATATGTGAATAATCATTTCTTCCAGAACTGATGATACCATCCACTTAAGATTCAGCACCCACAAAAACACTCCATGCAAGTCATCTTCATCCTTATATAATTGTACACCCCCATCAGTTAAAAAAATTTTTCACACACTTCAATTATGTTTATTTACAACTTATATGTACACACTACTATGCTGATAAATTTTATACGTTTAAAGCTTACACAAGAGGTATTTTTTAAAGGATATAAAAAATAAATATATATTCTTTCTATACCCAGGTGACCATTTCATACACATAAATCCTTTGGAAATCAAAGGATGTGGGGAAATTAATAATCATCATTTGCCTAATTTAATGGTACTTGAACCTGTTGTTACTGAGAGTTGGAACAGTGTAGAATGAATGACTCACTATAATAGAATGTGTTAAAGTACTTTCATGAAGCTCTTTGGAATGACAACTGTAAGAAGCTCTGTAAGAGTGTAATATCAAGTCAACCAGCATTTATTTAGCATGTGCAAGTGACGCAATATCCATCTACAGGAAGGAGCTTATGTTATGGGTAGAAGGCATTTTATTTAGATGTGTATAGAAGTACTATGAGTACATGTAAAAATAACTGATAATTCAAGAGGGGACATGAGAAATGTTGCATCTGTGTTAACAGAGGAGAGAGATTCGTGTGGGAGCAATCACTTTAAGCCTGTGGGAGTCAAAAGGGCTTCGAGAAGGACTTGCTATTTTATTTTATTTTATTTTATTTTATTTTAGTCTGAGTCTTATTTGAATAGGCAGAAAACACAAAATATTTAGAAGACAATGAGTTGATTCATTTTATAGAAGCAGATGGCTTTTGTGAAAGAAATTAATAGAAGGAAAGCTAAAGAAGTAGGATTGATTCTTTTGAGGAGTGCACTAATCTTACCCAAGCTAAGCAAACTGGACTTTTTCTGTTTGCAGTGGGAAGCTGCTGGGCAGAAGTGTGGTGTGATCAGAATGGTAGTTTAAGATGAATCTGTTGGCAGTGTAGAATACATTTGGATGGAGAGAGAAAATGGCGTTAGACCAGTTGGCAAGCTATTACACAATTCTTAGTAAAAATTAACATTTGATTGCCAGACACTGTTCTGATCACTCCTCGAGTGTTCAACTCTAAGAAGTAAATACTGTTATTACCCATTTTATAGGTGAGAAAACTGAGGCACAGAGCAACCATCCCTCCTCCACCTCCCAAGATCTCACAGCTTGTAATCCAGGACATCTGTATCCTCTAGCTGTTGCCATAGATCACTTGGATCTCAGTTAGTTCTGGCTCGAATAGAAATGAGGGATACACTCATGAAAGACTGAAAAGCCACATGGGTAGAACTTAGTTAGCTATGTGTGTGAGGCAGGAGAGAAATGTCAAAGATCAGCCAAGCAAATTCAGAAATGGGTAGTAACAAACCAAAATAGAGAAATCAAAATCCATTGGCCTATCGCTTTTACTTACAGAAATTTATCCTAAGGATATAATCATAGAAAAAGAAAAAGAACAAAGTTAATTTTTAAAGTTACAAGAATACTGGTTACCATGTTTATGAGATGGGAAAAAAAGACTTTGAAGGATATTACCAAAGTGTTAACTGTAGTTCATTTCTGGGTATTTGGATATTAAAAAGCATACCTTTTAAAAAAGTTTATCAGTGTTTTCTGGATTGTCTTCAGTAATTTTATTGCTTTTATAATAATAATTTACTTATTTCTAAAAGGAGAATGCTAATTTGGAGAAAAAATTGTTTTAGAGTTTAGTTATTAATTTATTAATTCACTCCTCAAGTATTTATTGTACTGCTTACAATATGCTAAGTACAATATGCCAAATCTGATCTTGGCTAGATGTTTGAAGTAGAAAAATGGAAAGACAGTGTATTTTCTTCCAGAAGTGTTCAGTCCAGCAGGGAGACAGACATGCAAACAAGTAACTCCAGTGTAATGTGATATAAAAAAAACCAACAGAAACAAAATAAATGCTCAGGGCACAGTTAGCAGTTTGGGGAGGAGCCATCTGGTTATGTTTGTTTGTATCTGGGAAGGTATAAAATTTAAGATACTGTTTTAGCTAAGCCTTAGATCTGCCAGGTTGACAGATAAGCTGAAAGAAGGCATTTCAGGAGAGGAAGAAGCAGCGTGTGAGATAACGGTCAAACATCCAGATGCAAATATCCGGCTTTGGTTAGAATCAGGAGGGAGGGCTTCCATGCAGGAGTCCTCTGCTCAGTGGTGATACTTGTAGCCTGGAAGACGTATGGGACCTCTAAAATAGAGTATCTTCAAGGAAGTCTTTTTAAGCCGAAGGAGAAGGAAGAAGATGCCAACGAAGGACCTAGAGAAGCAGGAAGAGTCAGAGTATTATGATGTGGAGGCCCAAGGAAGTAGAGGTGCGAATGGTCAGTGGTGTCCCCTGCTGCAGAAAGGCTTGACCACTTGGTGATGTGCATATTTCCAGTCTTTGCTCTGTGTTTTTTGTTGTTGTCTAAAATTATTTCTTAGTCTATGTGCAGTTTTATGTCCTGTCTTTTCAATAGGTGAATGAACTACAATTTCTTTTTTGGCAGAAGTGGGGCATTTGGGTTTTTCCCTTCACTCTAAGGAAACAAATCAACTTGTGAAGAGTTCAGGAGAACAGCTTATGAGTAATTGGATGTAGGTATAAAACAAATGTATTCGGAACATTAGCAGTGAGCTAAACAGAAAGACGAATTATTCATCTGCATTCTGGGCACCTTGATCAGTGACTGGTATGGAATGAGTGGAGGGAGGAAGGAATGAAATTAAGAAATAGAGGTAGAGATACTAGTATCAATTCTCGGGTATTTTATGTAGTAAAAAGTTACTTATATGTATATGGTTACAAGGTGCAGTTGTAGTTTTTTAGCCGTAGAAAATGGGCGAGCTATTTTCCTCTTTAGAGTGAGGGCAAAAAAGCACGGGTTTTATGCTGATGTTTTCAAGACAGGAAAGAACAAGGACCCTAGGCCCGAGTAGACTTAATCTCAGTACAGTGGTAGGTGGTAGGTTAGTTCGAGGCTTTGGGAGGGTGAAAGCACGTCTTTAAATGTCCCTTTTGAAGAGGAGGATGATGGGAAGAGCAGCAAGAGGTAGATGGAAGGATTGCTGAGCAGCAGTGAGGTCGTGGCTGGAGGTCGGTGGATGGTTATAGAGGTGAGGAGTGGACCATGGACTCACTCCTGTCTCAGCAATAGTAACAGACTGTAAGAATTTGGATGAAAGAGTGTTTTTCTCCACAGAATACACTGTTTTTATAAACTGTTAGACTCCTAGAGCTGCGAGATGTATTTAAGTTCAATTCTTGGTTAATAGAAAACAAAAATAGAAAATTTAATGCTCATAATTACATAACCAAAATGAAGAATAGGCTGTATTATGAGGCTTGTTTCATAAACCATAAAACACATTTACCTTGTCCTTCCATTTTTAACGGTAGGAGGTAACTCACCTTCATTGATGAAAGTTACTGGTGGCATCTTGAAAGGGCTTTTGGTGGGAGATGTTGCCAGCTCAGGTGATGGCATTAAGTCCCTGGGATAGCCGGGATCCCTCTGGATCTCGTTGCCCCCCAGCAGACCAGGAGTGTACTGGTGACTGTTAGGGATGTGCTGTGGCACCACCTGGACGAGAGGAGGAGACACGTGCGGGTCTTGTCGGGAGAATATCCTCAAGCACTGTTCTTCCAGCAAAGTGATCATCACAGACTGGTTATTGACAAGGTCAGTCAAGGAGGCGTATTTCACCTCTAGTTCCCTGTACCTTGTTGCCATCTTCAGCATTTCTGTGGTGACATTGAGGATTTTATTTTCCAACTGGGAGAGTTCCAGTGAATTATCCCTCTTACGAATAATCTCATGTAATAGTTGCATGTAGAGTTGAGTAACACGAGAGTTCATGTTACGGCTTTCTTTTCTCAGCAGCTTTACCTCATTGACTATGTTCCCGTCTACGTCCACCACCAGTTGCAGGACGTCTATCTCCCGCTTCTGCCGGGAGAGCACGTCCTTCAGGTTTTCAAGGTCCATCCTGGTGATCATGTCTTTAATGGTACCTGCGTCTTGCCCTTTGGTATTGACACAAATCGGCCCTGTTATTTTTTGTTCAGGTACCAGGAATGTGTATGCACATTTCTTTGCTTCCTCTTTACCATCTGTAGCACGAGGGTATCTCCTCTGGGTTATTTTTTTTATTTTAAACTGTCCTCCTCTGCAGTGTCCAATGCCCATTAGTAGGAAGAATAGCACACTTAGGGTCCAGATAAAGGCCTTCATTTTGAAGTGAGGTTGTATGATGTCTTTAAAAACAAAATAAAAAAACCATTGAAGGCAAAAAGTAAAAAGAATTGATGTCAATCCACTTGTAGAGTCAGTAATATTAAAAATATCTAAGGGAAAACCTGAATATCTAGTGGTGTTGGTAAGTTGGGCCAGAATTAAAGTGATTCCTTTCTTAGATTCAATATTATAGTGCCTTCATATTTGTTTAAAAATTAGGTTTCAGGGAACAGCTCTGCAGCTGGCACCTTACTGTGCTGCTTTGTGTCCCTCAGCGCCCTGTGCAGCTCTGGGTGAGAGCCCACTGTGTGCTGAGATGCCGTTAGATGCTTCCGGGGCTTTTGAAACCCTAATAGGACACCTTTCTTACCTTGAAAAGCTCATTTACTTTCTTAAGTCCCTGAAAATGTTTGTAAGGCAATCGTTAAAACATTCTCCCCTGACTAATGTGAAAGTTACCAATCAGTATTTTATATCTAAATTGTGCAGTTTCAGTTAAATTGGCCCTCTCTAATAAGTATCTTTTTTAATCCAACAAATTAAAGAAACAAACTTTTTTAGACAGCTCTAAAACCAGAAAGTTCTAACATCTTATTTTTTGTTCGTTTTGGTAGCACGGCCTTTTGGGATTGGTGTCAAGTTGAAGAATGATAGAATGCTTGCAGTCATTATTGTGGGTAACTGTGTTTCCTAAACCGTGCTCATATATATGCTCTCAGCTTATATATGATTCAAAAGGTTCATTCTTCTGACAGAAGTTCTGCTGAACTGCATTTTATTAAAATGTTAATAATTTCCTAACGCTGTTACCAAGGAAAGAAACTCATCTGTAATTGAATATGATCATCTGAGTTGGAAAGTGCCTTCAAGGCCATCCCATCTAAGACCTCTTTGCACCCATGCGCATGCTGAAGGCCAAGGCCACACAAATAGGTGGCGTTAGAGCCAGGTCCAGAGGTCAGGTTCCCTGGCGCCTCAGTCAGTGCTGACAGCAGTGGCACATACGCTAAAATGTGTGCTAGGAATGTTTCATTTTTGTTGTGGCAGATAAGAAACACTTGTCCTTTATAGTACAATTTCTGTCGGAACACTAGAGGAAACAATAGAACTGGTTCCCAGAACCAGAGCTGTCTCCTTTCTCTTTAGTTAGCTCCCTAAAGGGTGGTAGCAGGAGAATGAGTGCAGCGTGTCCCCCTGGTCCGGTTTATTAGCGAGCTGCTGTAGTCCAGCCCACTTTCCCACTCTAGGAAACTCGATTCCTATCTGCTGTTTTTGAGGGATGGCAGTGGATACACTAATAACTTCTCTATCCCATTTTCCACACAGGTACTTGTCTTCTTTTGATTTGGGAAGCCAGGTCCCAAGTTGTTTATCCCAGATGCTAATCATAATAGCAACGCAGCAGTAACAATAGTTCGTATTTATTGGGTGCCTGTTGAGAAGCAGGCATTGTTTTAAGCCTTTTACATACATTAAATCATTTACTTTCTCATCACAGCCCCCTGGGGTAGGTTATTATAATCCGCATTTTCAGATGAAGAAACTGGCATCCAAAAGTTAAGCACCTCACCCAGAGTCACTCAGCTTCTGTGACGTGGAGCCAGAATTTGAACCCAGGCAGAAGACTCCAGAGTTCATGTTTTTCACTAACAACTGCATCATAAGGCAACATAGTCGGTCCTGTTTTCTATCACCAATGCTTATAACAATCCTTTATATTCGTGTAGTGCCTAACTCATGTTAACTATTTGCATTCCCAACCGCACTGTGAAGTAAACATACCGTCTTGCAAAGAAAGAAACCTGGAGAAGTTAGAACATTCAAATGGGATTCGGATCTCCTACTTGTCATTTTTTAGACCTGTGATTTTTATCCTAGTCACGTAACTACAGAGGTATATGAATTTTGTGTTTCTTATCTTCCAGTCTTTTCCTGGTTTCTGTCTCTTTACATTGACCCGCTACTGAATTATGCACAGGTTTTTGTGGATCCGTTTTATATCCCAAACCTGTCTGCTATCGTTACTTCCCTCCATGTGTATTCTGTTGGTTGATGGTTAATATGAATTAACTGTGGTTATGGTTATGGCTAATTAATTATGGTCTATGTGATTATGAACCCTCCTAAAATTAAAGGTTAAATCAATGAATTCCATAATTTATGACTCTTCAACCAGAGTCATAAAGATGATGACTAGTGTCTAAAACCATGTCTCCTTACTTTGTTGTGTTCAAATGAGTGCTGTTTGCAAAATGGGGTGATAATGAAAATAAAGCGAAGAATGGATGGAATGTGGAGAGTAATTTCTCTTTTACTAACATAGTCCAGATAGGAAGGAGGGGCATAATAATAGCCTGTATTTGTGTCAGAGGCATTCTCTTTGCTGCCTGGTAGTGTTTTCAGTTTTGGGTTCTCATAGTTTGCTTTCTGACATCAGTAGAAAATTTAGACTGAGCGTTACCTATTTTATCAAAAAAGGACTTTAGTTACTATATTAGAGTTCCCTATACCAATAACCAGTAAAATGCATCTTGTTATGTTACAGATTCATAGAATTTAGATGTGGTTTATTTTTAAAACTGAAGACAGTAAAATAGAAGCCATCGGCCCCCTGCAAAAATGTACAGCGTTTCACCTCCGTAGATAGTTGAAGTGTCTAGGGTTCACATGCACTCGTTTCGTTCACTTCAGTAATAACTTGGAAACTCTTAGATCATAAAATTATTGTATTTGAATAACTTAATATGAAATAAGCTACCAAAACAAGGAAAATTCAGAAGGTATCATGAAACTCCAAAACATGTAGAATTTTCTGAACAATATTCTGATTGAAAAGCTTATATTCCTACCAGGTAGAGTTTTATAGAACGACTAAGAGCATATAATCGAAGGTTATTGCTGCTGTTTGTGTTGTCATGGAAGAACAAAAATGTGAAAATAGGAATTAAATCAAAATTGCAGTAGCTTGTTTTTGGTGTATTCTGCCCTGGCTCTTTGTGGGTTCCTGGATGATTAAGTCCTGAGATGAATTATGGTCTACCCTAAGAGAATCTGACCTAAGGTAATATTTAAAGGAGGCAACTAAAGTTTATTTTTTTTTAATGTATACAATCCTCTTATCCTTTGCAAAAGTAATGACTTCGTTGTCACCCAAAGCTGAATAAGGAACTGCATTTCTTAAGTAGTAGACTAAGCTACGTCATGTGTAAAGAACGGGTTTTTAAAATACACTTACTGTTACCTTTTATAAAAACATTCTCTTATTTAATATTTTCCCACATATGTTCAGTTTTAAAAGTGAAAGATCCATAAATCTGTGTTACCTCATAAAACCTTTCTGTATATGTTAAAATTTTCCAAGGCCTCACGAGAATGTTGTAAATTAGTTACAGTGTACTTAAATTTAAATCTGTGTCTTTGCTTGGTTGTTTTTAGGAGAAAAAAAAGTCTTCCATGCTTTGAGTTAATTTTTTTGGTACTGTTTCTCTTCATAGTTGCTACACTGCCAGCTAATAGAGAGAAGAAATGAAAGTCAGGATTTACTTGCTTTCACGTGGTAAACTCATTGAGGCGTTTAGCGGACTGTGTCATGCCCTGAAAATGGCACGAAACAATGAGCTTAAATTTATGAGGCATTGAAGGCACCTTAGATAAAGAACTTCTAGATTCTGGAAATTTATGTTCTGGGAAGAGACTTGAGAACAATCTCATGCCCTAGAGATCTTTAAGAAAGGGATAAATAGTTATCTGGGTTTCCGATTAAATGCTTGCCTAAGGCTTCAGTAAGAACTGAAGTTTAATTGAGGTCCTGTACTTTTCATTGCAGCAACAACAAACAAAAGAGAGATGACAGTATTTCAGATCCAATATTGCTTGGAAATTTTATCAGAATTTCATGTAAAATATGTTTAACAGAGATCCTCCCAGTTGTTTAGAGTTCTGAATCTTTAAGGAAAGAACATGAAAGTAAAGTTGAAGAAATCTTATTTAGTTTTACCATTATTTGCTGGTTGAACATTCTTACCTTGCATATCTTTGATTTTGAAAAGGACAGAGGTTCCCCAAATCATAACAAATTTAAGTGTCTTTGATGTTAAAGCTTATTGTTGGTAACTAGTAGTTTTATTTTTTAATAATTCTAGTAATACAATTAAACAGAGCCCCCTGATAGAATATTGAAAGGATTGTTTTTGTTGACCAAAATTATATCTTTCTAAAAATATTGTATATTTTTGGTCTTTTAATTGTGCATATAAGTAATTGTATCTTCCGGGTTCTTATTTTCTGTTGTTAATGCTGACTACTTACACAATACTTCTATCACATTTTATTTCTTCTCCTCAGTTCTAATCTGTAAGGTTTCAGGATTTTTTTTTTAATGTATCGATCACTTTGCTTTCTCAATTCCAGTTGTAACCTTTTTCATTTCTGTTACTCAAATTAAAGTTCTGTACATGTAAACCTGGAAAACTATTTGAAAGTTTGAGTTTTAGCAAGAAAGTTTGAGTTTTAGCAAGAAATACCAAGGACTTACTTTAAATTTTATTTAAATTTAATTATACTAGGTTATGCCATAATTGAGGTATTGTTGCAGAGCCTTTTGGTTAATTTTATATCTTCTTAGCTGTGTTTTGTAGATATCTAACAGTGTATGTAAATATTTAGCATACACACTGTAGCTGTGTAAAGAGAGACTAATCATGTTTACAACTATTTTCTTAATTTGTATCCCTTTGTTTTAGTCCCTGTGCTATAAATCCTATAATCTGTTACTTGTTAAAATTTCTTTCTGGTGTCACTAAAGGACTTGTTTTCTGAGACCCAACATGTATGCATCAGTCTATAAACATATACACTAAGTATCATTAAACTGAACCTCAAATAATTCACTAATCATCATAAAGTATATAATGACCAGTTTTTACATAAAGTTGCAAAACAAAACCTTTTTCAGATGAAATAAATTGTAGTATATTCCAAAGTTCTTTGATTAATAAGAGATTTTGAAATTTCTACTACAAGTGTAAAATAATTATACATTTCAACAGGCATAGAATTTTTAAATAAAAATAAAAGAAATATCAAAGTACCTTTTTGCATCTGTTGATAAAGCAAACTCAGAAACTTGCTGCTCTTGTTCTTGCTTTTAAAAAATCAGTGTAGAAGTTTGTTCGTCTGTGATTTTAATGGCAACTGCATTTTTGTTTTGGGCCGTTGAGTCCAAGCTGTAATAAGGAACTTCTTTTTCTTCTTACAGCACTAATCAATTGAATTTGACAAGCCACCTATGTAATTTTAAGTAGTGTAGTGGAAGTTCTGGTCTGCGGGCTGTCTTTAATCCAGCAGAGAAGGCATTGTGGCTTTGCTCTGTCTGCCACATGGAGAAATGCAGTAACCAGCTGCAGCTGACCCAGATTGTATATACAGTACCCTCGAATAGTGACTCCCTCTCTTTCTCGGTAGACTCAAGTTCAGCCCACATATTACGTCACCAAAAATTTGCTGGAGCCTGGGGGGCGGGGGGTGGAAATCTCCTTAGGATTTCCTCTCTGTAGCCTTAAATAGGGGTGGGGGTGGTGGGATCAGCAGGAGGCTGAATGGCTCGGAACAAGGAGAGACTGTGTGCAGGTTGAAGGAAGGGCACCATCTGGAAACAAACTATCATAGTTCACCGGGCAATTATAAAACAAACATTTTCGTCTGCTGGCCGGAGATCTTTTAAGTTGAATGCTGAAAAAATAGTACTCAACTTCACTTAGAAGTAGTTGCAGGCTGATGAGTTTGTTTTTTATTACAAAGAATAAGGGTTAGACTTTATTCTAAGGAGCAGCCCCCTAAATAATATGATACTTTTATAGCCTAGAAGAATCTTTAAACATTTTACTAAGTTGCCATTGCAGAAGGTGTTAAGCTTGTAAGAAACCTGATGTCTGTTGTAATGTATCTTACTGTGTAATATTTCTGAGGCAAAACCGCTCATTTATACATAATTACCAAAAATCATTGGAAAGCTGTGTGTAAAATTCTTTCAGAAATTTAATACTTCTAAAATTCTGATGTTATGTAATTAAATTCTGATGTTATATAATGTCACTTCCTCCTATTCTGTAACATGACCCCTCTTGTCTGAATACGGTTATTCTTATTAGTTGATGTGTTGTGATTTAACAGCAAACATAACTCTGGCCTGAGTTGGGGGAAAAGAGAGCTCTGACTCCCTGCTGGCTTTGGGAACTTAGACAAGTCGCTTTATGCACCTCGGGCCCAGTTCTTCTGCGATGACGTTAGAGGGAGTTCGTAATGGTTGAGTGTCAAGTATGCTTTTGTGTTTCATTAAATCAAGAAATGCCGATTAGCTTAGTGGCTGAGGAGACACCAATTTAGGCGTCTTTAGTAATTTGGCTTAGGACTTCAGTCCTGAGCAGTAGAACTGGGGTTCGAATCTAATTCCAGAGCATTAGGCCACATTATCTCTCTTTGAATTATATAATTGCTGCTTCTAGATAAAACCTTCTGTACATGCCACGTGCTCTCCCCTCTTCGTTGCCTTCCTTGTGCTGCTTGCTTTTCTCTTTCTCGACCCTACCGCCAGCTGTTTGTTCATCAACATCCTTTATTTAAAGTCATCTTAGTTTCTGCTTCTTTCACAGAATGAGTTTCTCTAAGTTCCTTTGACATACATAGGTATAGCAGGGGTTGCATACTCAAAGGCCTGCAGATGCTCACAACAAGAATGAAGCAGTTAATGTACATAAGTGAAGTGAACCAGAAGTAAGACAGGAGAGGAAAATAGGGTTGTGACAACAGGCATCCTTAATAGTGTAGCAGGGTCTGCACCTTTCTCAGCTGTACCTCCTTGTTGCCAGATCTCCCTCCCCCCACCCCCCGCCTTTTTTTTTCTTTCTTTCTTTCTTTCTTTTTTTTTTTTTTTAGAAAAAGAGGGCCATGTAGATATTTCCTGTGGTCTTTCCTGATTTTAAAAACATTGGGACCACTTCTAGCCTCTGATTTATATCATGTAATACGTCACTTGATCATTCAGTGATGATGTTGTATTCACTGACAGCTTAATCTGGAGAAATATGAGGCCGTAGCTCCTCCTGAGCCTTTTTGCTTGAGCGATTTTAAGCTCTCCAACTGTAGCAATTAATACTATCGCTAAGCAAGGTTGGGAAGTGGAATGGCAGGTGTTTAGGGACAAATAATGGTTAGTTTGGCATGTTAAACTGAAAATGAAAGGAGCTGTGTTCTATAGAGAGATTCGGAAATTCATCAGCAATTAGGTGATAGTTGAAGCCTCTGAAGTAAGATAATCCAGAACAAGTACTTGTGGAGTGAGAAGATTAATGACAGAACCATGAGGAATACCAGCTTCCAGGGAACATGAGGAAAAACAACAGCAGAGGGAGGGTGGAAGCTAGGAAGATTCCAGCCAGTAAAGACCAGGGAACAAAGGGAATCATAAAACTACTGCGGAGAAGCTAAGCAGGAGGGAGGAGACCAAGAGAGGTGTCTAAAGACTTAATAATGAAGAGGTCATCTGTGCCTTTGCCAGAGTAAGTTTCAGCAATGGGATGGACGTGAATATCAGGTTATCTACAAGTGTTAGCTCAAGTGTGGATCAGTAGAAACTTATATACTGTCAGTGGGCACATGAATTGTTACAGCTTTAAAAAGCAGTGTGGCACTGGCTTGTGAGGTTGAACATTATACATACATCCTAGAGAAGTTCTTATACATGTGCACCAGGAGACCTGTGCAAGAATGTCTATAGCAACAGGGAGGGAGGGGGGAAACAACTCAAAACTCTATCAAATAAAATGAATAAGTAAATTGTGACATAACTACATATTAATTTATTCTCAATTTAATAACTGTGTGTACTTAACATGAGTAAGTCTTAGAAACAAAGGAGTGAGACAAAGCTATCACAGGACATATTTTTAAAAATTTATTTACAAATCATTTATTGTATAACCTGTTCTAACTTTACTGATATTTAATTTAATCACTCATATATAAAATATGATTTTTAAAGCTCAAAAATAAGCAAAAGTAAAATAACATGTTGTGCAGGAATACAGACATGTATGTGTCTCAAAAAAAAAGGGATAATCTTCAAAGTCAGAATAGTGGTTAGACAGGAGACAGGGAGATGACACTGGGAATTAGCAGATAAATGACACAACAGTTGTAGTTCTTATGTTGACTGGGTATTCACAAGTATTTATTATATTGTTTGACAACAACCGACATTAGATGTGTTAAACTATTAGTTTTTAAAGGATAAAACCATGATTCTCACACAAATACAAAATGAATACATGTCACAGGTTTTGTTTAAACAATAAAATGTATAAGGGAATCAGGAAGACGCTACAACCACTTCAAGGGTGAACTCGAAGGCCCACGGACACACACGTCGGCAGCCGGGAATGCCGAAGTGAATTTACAGGTCGTTGCGGAATTGGTCAACATCCACAGGGCAATAATCAGTTATATCCCACTGGACATAATTCACTGGCATTTTTATGGACAAGAATTTATATTATTACCACTTCTCAACAACTCAGAGTTATAACACAGCTCAGGCCAAAGGATGCACTTGGAGACAGGATATACCTAACAGTCCTTTCTGGCTAATTCCAAAGTCTATCACAGTTTTTCCTGACAAAAGCAAACCTTAATATGTATCAAATATTACATAAAAATAGAGTGAAGGATTAAAAAGTAAGTAGTCTGTGTTTCTCTTTCAAGGTGTTTGCTGACGAGAGAGAGAGGCAGGGGTCCCGTCTTGAGGAAGGGATCAGATTTAAAGGAAGAGTTTGTTTGACTCTCTTTTCTT